GGGAACTAGGGGTCACTGTATAGATTCTGGGGGCTACTGGGGGCCCATGTAATAGCTTCTGGAAGTCACCATATAGCTTCTAGGGGCCATTTGGAGCCCCTGTATAGCTTCTGGGGGCTACCATATAGCTTCTGGGGGCTACTAGGGGTCCCTGTATAGCTTCTGGGGGCCACCTTATAGCATCTTGGGGCCACTGGGGGCCCCTGTATAGCTTCTGAGGCCACTGGGGTCCATGGTATAGCTTCTAGGGGCCACTGGGGGTATTTTTTATTTGAACCTTGAAAATTAATCTATTTTGCCAGATTTGGTGGCTGTCGAGGTGGGGTAAAATTAAATTATAATTTTTTTTTCAAATTCATGTGACTATTTATCTCTAAAGCAGCACCTTTTTACCTAGGGAGCATAACCTTTTCAAGAAGTGATATTTTGGACCACCTTTTTAAAGAAAATGAAATGTAAAAACCTGATTATTAAGTGATGTTACCATAGCAACTGAAATGTTAGATACATTACATAAACCATGTGATGAATTATTTAATCTTTACTTCTAATCATGTATATAACAGATACGTATATACTTCAGATGCTTTAAGAATCAAGAATATGAAGAAAATTATGAAAATCAGCAAAATAATGCATTTCTACGGTAGCAAATAGTGTCTATTTCTGTTGCTATAGCAACGGATTAAGATTTTTTCTTGATTTTTGTCACATGTGTCAAGCATCATACAAAAACCAATTCCTGAAAATTTCAAGTTAATATATTTATTAGTGTCTGAGATATGAGGGTGTCTTATAGTACCCCCCGTATATTTTATCAGGGGGTATAAGAAATGCTCTGTAAAGAGTTGCCCAAGGGTGCCGCTCCGGCATCAAATGGTTTTGAGGTCCCAACCCTATATTCATGCTGATAAGTTAAAAGAACATTGTAATCCGAAGAAAACGATTAGCTTTGAAGTTTCTGCCAGACTATAATACATCAGTTATGTCACTATGACGTGAAATATGCCTTCGTTCTTGCCCAAATATAGAGCCTCCCAAGGTCGGCCTATATTGGGAGAACTCAGGCATATTTCACGTCATAGTGACATAACCTCTAAGTATTTCTCTGACTACTCCGGGGTTTGTGGCGATGTAGAATTCAAATGTCAATAAATTCGGAAATATAAAAGATATGTGCCTTACATTCATGTCAGTTATTCCTCAATGTTTGTTTATTAAGTGCACTTAATTTGAAGAAAAATCATTCATTATATCTCCCTCAATTCTCATGAGTTCTGGGACACCCTGTAGAACATGCTCAAAATGTTCTCGTGGTCGTCACGTTCTACAATTAGAACGATGAGTGACAACGTACTAACGACGAGCTGGACGTACTACGAACGGAATCGTCGTACTTCAATCCTACTAGGGACGTTTTTACAACGAGTTGAACTGTCTGAGGACGTATTGAGAACGAGGTAGAACTAATTGCAAACAGGTTTAAACTGACTAAGAACGTATTAAAGACTGCTTATGAACGAGTTAGCAAAAATATAGCTATCACACCAAACAAGTTGTCACTGTGTTCTTCAAAACTGGTTTTAAACTGTGTGCGAACGGAATGAACGTAGCTGCAACTTTCTAAGGTCTATTTACGAACTTCATGAACGTTCTCAGACGGGAAGGTGATTTTAGAATTTAGATTTACCGACCATACCGTTCTGTAATCACGTCATGATGACCTTCTAGACTAAGGGACGCGTTACACGACGTTGCACACCGACGTGGTGCGACCTGAACGAACTGCGAATGAGATGAACGTATTGAAGACTGTTTATGAACGAAGTAGCTAATTATTTAAGACATATATCCTGACCACAGCCAGACTGAGCCCGTTTTACGACGTTTTCGTAGGACTGGCAAGAACGGGTAAGAACTAGTTTGGTGTGATAGGGGGGTTAACACGACATTCGACGGGATTTGTTTTCCCTTTGCTTTGCCGTTATTTTCGTTCTTTTCTTACAAATGTTACGGTTTTATGAAACGATAAATTGAATATGACATCGTAATGGAAGTCTATTTTTACTGAAAACAGATACATCACCTTTTAACATGTATAGACTACCGCAATTCCATTTACTTTTCAGAAAACCTCTCTCTCCCTTTCAATTGTACGAGCAATATAGGATTCATGTGATTGAATTTATCATTAACTTCAAGAGGCAAAATCGGAAAAACTGACTCAGTGATATGGCTAGATTAATAGGTCAGGCTACATTTCAGTGTTTATTAAACGAAACAAGGCGAACTAAGGTAAACGGTAGTACATGTATAAACGAAAGTATACTAGCTCTAAGACCATACTCCTACTTAAAGGCCCCGTGTAAAGTTTAAACCACTAAAGCTAATATAGAAGTTATCGAAATTAAAGTTAATTGATTGAAAATTGAACTAGCCCCATTATTTTTTTTAAAGTAAGAACTTTTGTACGAGTACAGTTTATATAATTTTTCTTAGAGAATATTCAGTTGTTAGAATATAGCAAGCTTTATGTCGTGGTATATGCGTTCGCACCCATCACACCCCCTGGCTACGCCTATGGTAGTTACTAGTATGTGACAACTCGTGCAGGGTGTTTCAGAATATTTTCCAGCAGTTCTGTTACATATGTTAAGTATCAAAGCGTCTTCTTATTACATCTTAGGAGGGTTTCTTTGTCATTGTGAGTTCAAATAGGTGCCATTTCAAAGAGGACGTCTATCTGATATTTTAAGGAAGCCTAAATATTCTTCTTTATTAGCACCATTGATGTCTGTGTTATTTTTGGGGTATTTGTCATTGCCAAAAAGTCAACATTTGAATATTTTAACAACTGTTGTTTCAAAAGATAAAACAATGACACCATCGGAAATAAATACGCCGAGTATAATCAATAATCAATAAAAGCTTGTGTAATCAACAAAAAAACGAGTACTGTACTGGGTTTTCAAAGTAACTCTATAATGCAATTTGAAGATGGGTACGTTTATTTAGTTGTTTCATCGATGTTGGTTAGGATTGATATAACATGGGGGTAACGTACGTGTTTTTAATTTTTATAACTTAAATAAGGGAGGCATATTTATTTGACACACTGTACATGTAAGTTAGCCCAGAACAAATATCATGAAGGTTTGTTCGCTCAGATTTTACATTGCAAGATATATACATTTTCTTGGCCGCGAAATTAAGAGTAAAAGAAAGTGCGACTCCAATAATCAAGGTCAGACTTGTCAAATTCCTCTAAAAAATACGATAGATTTTAGAAAGAATACGGTAGTTTTTCACAGGTAAAAACGGATTAACAAATTACGGTAGACTTTAGTAGAAATACGGTACGGTCGTTTTTACGGGAGAATACCGGTAGAGGTTGTTATTTTTTACGGAAAAGCGAAAAATTTAAGGGAGGTTGGCAGGTCTGCATAATATAATAAGCTGTTTGCGAAAACAACGTTTGTTTCAACTGTGGTATAGCATTATAGTAATTACTGATATACCATTCGGTGAAGAAGACATTTTACCACATTTATACTGTGTTTAACAGAGGGGTCGTTGTTCAATCGTTCTCTTTACAGGATGCTCAATAGATCAAAATCAAAATAATCGATTCATTTCTAAATTGTATAACGTAAATGAATTGAGCAAAAATACAACTCTTTAGTCTCTTATACAATAGTATAATAGTATTAAAAAGTTGATAAATTCTTAATTTCAACCTAAATAGACTAACATTATTCCAATATTCTGAAATCAGCATACTTAGAAAAGATTTATGAAGAATGAAATCACAGCGTAACATAAAAAAGTATGCATAAAAATATAATCGGAACTTACCAGCATCTTCAGCCAACAAGAGATCGAGATCGTTACATTAGGTAATATTTGTGAGAATGAGAATTTGTTGCGAAATTGAAACGGGAAATACCATAGAATGTGATATTGCACAATTTCGTCTGAGATAGATATCATCGGGTCTGCTCTATATATAACAAGTATATATAGTTGAACCTTAATTTCCATATTGCCATATTATTGAACTTTAATTCGATATTGAATTAGTCAAGAGCCACGGTTTAGAAATAATATTTACACGATAAAAATATTTACACGGGGCCTTTAATCATAACTGTTTTTAATTGTTGATAGGCAAGTTTCACTGTAAAATATAATTTAGTAAATTTAATTAGGAACACAACGATGAGATCAACATTATACAGAAATAAATACTCGGCAGTGATATTCTACTGGACGAAGATGCCTATAATTTATTTAAAAAAACAACTGCCGCAGATTGTAGATCGCTGTCGATTATCTTGAGCTGGCAGTCTGCTTCAGTTCTTAATACACACGAACGTAAAACGTGAACAAAGAGCAATAAAAGTCGCGATAGATAGGGTTATGATATCCGTCATCATTTTGTTATTTGGGAATGACATGACAGCCCTACTGAACGCTGAACCTACTTCTTTACTGGAAATGCGAGATAATAAAAGTACTTAGCTACAATTAAACATGGTAAGCTGTCGAAGGTTGTTATTATAAAAAGTAATAGAATGTTAGTAGCTACTGGCACCTGCTAATGACACATAGCACGGAGCAGGTATAGGAATTGTAATTCGTCTTCATAACTTGTGGTAATGTTTTCACGTAGAGGTGAAGCGTGACGACAAAGGAGTCAGTCGTGTTGTTGTTGACGATGACAGGCAACCGAGATGCACTTGGAATTGAAACAAAGACTAGCGAATAATAGACTCTTCCAACAATTACGATCTCAGTCGATACGATAAATAGCCTGTCAGTGAAGACATTCACAGGGATTTGTAGATAGATGGATTCGAGGAGCGCAAATAACGCATCACTGTTTTCTTTAAGTCTGACAAGTAGATGACAATTACATTCACTGGAAGCATTTCGCTATTTCGGATTGAATTCAAATAGTGATTCGAATCAGGATTATATTCTGTGTGAACTGCTGTTGAGGAAATCAGGAATACCCATATCACCTGTGAATATAAAAATGTCAGGAATAACAAAAAACGAAAGTTGGGAATACGGTTTGGAAATCAGCAATTCGAGCAATTCGACCGATTTCGCTAATTTTTCTGGCACAAGGGAATACCTCCAGTGGATGGACCACGGAGCTTTGAAAAGACAACTTGGAATTTCGATAGCACTTTGTTCAATATCAGTCATCACAAATACGATTTCAATCGGCGCAATTTGCCATATCCCTGGTAAATGGAACAATAACTTTATACTTTTAATAAACCTCGCCGTGTGTGACGCAATGGGTGCGTTGGCATATCTAGTTGATATCCTGAGTAAGGTTTACATTCGCTGGGCGGCGGGCACGGTAGACGACACAACTTATTTGATGACAGCTACACATCTAACATCTTTAGGTCACATCTTTTTTGTATTGTTCTATTTAGCGGCTGCATTGACATTACTGGTGTTTGCAGTCCATCGTTATATCGCTATATGTACGCCCGTCAGGTATGTTTACGTAGCAACATCGCAGAAAATATGGTTATCTTTGGCTGGGGTATGGCTGGTTGCGGGTGGTGTGTCGCTATCAGGTACTTGCGTTTATACCTTCATTAACCACGGCACACACGACTATTGTTTCATATGGAACTATATTTGGCCAGGGATACTCCTTGTCATATGCTGCAGTATCGTTGTTCTTTATGTGGCCGTACTCAACAGATTGAACGTACGAGCACGCAGGCTACGGAACGACTCTCAGATAGAACAAAACTACCAATGGTTCAATACGACCCTGATCTTAATCATGTCTCTCATAGTATCTATCTTACCATCAATGATTCTTAAACTAACTAGAATGCATTTTCCACAATTTATAAACTTGGTATACTACGATTTCCTGTTTTATTTCCCTTATTTCAATTTCGCCACGGATCCTATTATTTATGGTTTAAGGATGAAGGACATGAACGACGGCTACAAACAAATGTTTATTTACAAGTTGAGCTTCACAAGTCGGCCGTCCACAACGACGAATCATAGAATGTCGTGCACCACGGATAGGTCGGCCATCAGTGAATCTTTAAAATCGAATAACGAGGAATCAACGGAACTCTAAGTTGTTGGATACGTAATTTCCATCAAAATGCTTTAATAATATTACAATTCCATTGTAAAATACATTCTATAGAACTAATGTTTAGACATGATGGACTAAAGATATCCATGGTCGACTGGACAATTCCATGGCAAAATTTACGATTATGAACAATTCCAGAGTTATCAACGATTCTACAGTCGAGGTGTGTATACTATTCTGACATAACATACATATTGATACCGTTAAGCCCGGTGTGAAAGAAATGATGGTCCCCCAGGGATTATGGTCCCCTTTCTTAACGGCCCTTACTGGCCCTGATTGCGTATAAGATAATTAGGAAAAGAGTTGTATTTAGGTCACCATATAAATCAATGGAGAGTAGGACCATAATTTGATGGGACCTCCTACCCTTTTACACCTGTATACACCAATGGGGCAAGTTGGGACCTCCATAGACTTAACATTGCGTGGGACCTCGTGAGACCTTTAGGGATTTTGCCCCATGAAGTCTGTGGGACTCCATGGGACTCCGTCGAACTTTGTCCCATCTTGCCCCATCGAGTCCCATCTTGTCCCATCGAAAATGAACATGTTCATTCTTTCCATGGGGCATCGTGGGATTTTCGATCATATGACGTGTTGTGTGAAGCCCAACATACACCAATGGGGCACGTTGGGATTTGATGGGACTCCATGGGGCACGATGGGGCAAAGTCATCAAGGTCCCATGGGACTTCGTGGGATTCAATGGGGCACGTTGTGATTCGATGGGGCAAGATGGGACTCGATGGGGCAAGTGGGATTTTGCCCCATTGGTGTATACCGGGCTTGACTTGCAGACACAATATTTAAATATATTCAGAGAATCGAAACAACCTTTTCAAGAAATGTCAAATGGGGTATGAGTACGAAATTCTTGGATCGGTTTTTAGGTTTGCATATGCGTTTTAAGTTTGGTGTTTCTCATACAGTCAGACAGGTTTTAGCCGTCTCTAATTCATAATCGCCAAATGTCCCAACAAGTTCAGTGGTTCAACGAACTCATCATTCCAATAAACGTTAAGAGGAATACTTTTGAGGCACCTTTAGAAAAACGTGACAAGCATCATTGACATTTCCATTAAACACCTATCAATGACACATCAGGCATATTTTCAATGGATATCCTGTTTTTCAGTTTAGTCAATTAGCTGTTGTCACTTTAAACCACACGGTCGTTTTATAATAGTTCCGTTTCATAAGTATATTAGATATTTTGGGGATTGATGATTTCCGTGAGAAATCAAATTATCTCTGGCATTTGTTTCCGGAAACTCTTAAGATATATATAAAGTTGTTATTCCACATCATCGTAATTATACTTCTCTCATTATTTTGGCAACCAGAATTTGTTGAAAGCCCATGGTAGCATATAAAAGCATGTCAATATTTCAAATTAAGAGGAGGGAAAACCCCAGAACTTAGAGATGACAGACATAGCCACCTATCGCCTCTTGCTTACCACTTTCGTTTGTCCGTTGGTCTCACCCGCTAGTTTCCGAATACCATACGTCGTTAAGATGATTTAATCGATGTTATCATATTCTTATATAGTTATTTCTTTATTTTGATATTAAATAACTCTGGGGTTTCCCCCCCCCCTCTTGGCTCTGGTAAGTGATCGAAATAGGGACTTTCAGTTGCAAAGATGGGTGGGAGTGTATATATTAAGATAATCCGGTTCATCTTTATTTTCAGTATTCTAATCTACTTCAAATGATGTTCCTTTGGTGACAAATGGGCTTTTCAAATGGCGTGTCTCTTTCGTTTACTGATTTCTAGCCACTCGAGTGCCCTTTGAGTAGGACTCGTCCTTCAGCGATTGTTCTCGTAAATGGGGACAAGTTATCAAGAATGACATTTTCGATGGAATTCGTATCATTTTGACCACACTGTATTATGTCTTCCTAATCATTCCCGCATTGTCTACTTGATCCTATCAAACAGATATTACTGACATAATTGCGACATTCGTCTCTCTCTAAACTAATTCAATCATGTTCCAGTATCAGCAGAAATTACTGCAAAATGTGACATTGGCATTTCAAATTAAGTAGATGTTCTTTGAGTGCAAAGGCAAAATCTGATCTTTTGAGCAACTTTTCTAAAACATGTTTTAATTTTTTAACTATTGCACGGTGTATTGGGATTTTTTTTTTATTAAAAAACTGAGTATTTACATAAGTGTGTTTATCCTTCATATAGCACTTGGGCGAATTTACACAGGTTAGTACTTTTTGACAATTTACTCATTTTCGGTTACCAAGGATAGCGAGTGATGTAATTTGAGACATAATTTAATACATTGGTAGGTTGAATATGTTCACGATAGTGTCGCTCCCTATAACTCTGCATTGAGTACTATATATATAGAGGTTCCTGTACTGTATGAGTTCCACCTCTGTTAGTCATATGAGAAAAAGTAGGCAAAACAAAATGCGTTCTAAGTGTATACATGCCTTACTGTTCAAAGATTTTTATGTGAACTTAACAATATCGAGTCAGTAAAGCAATGAGCATCGATTGATTTCTTCTTTTGTCTGAATTAATCCTTCACTTGTCATACCTTAATTGATGACACTTAATATTACTTAATTACAGCTAACCTTGACTAGTCAATGTTAAAAAAGGTTCTTAGATTAAATTCTGTGATCAAATGAGATTGTTGAGTTCGTTCGACTCAAACTCCTGGCCTCTAGGTAGGTTACCAGACCTGCCAACCTAAATTAAAAATTTTAGGCAGATTCTTTTTAAATTGCGGTACCGCTGTGGTAGATTTTTCCAAATCCAGTCGTTTTTCGGTACCAGACCTCTATTATGAGTTTTTTTTCGCCCAGTTCTTAAATTACAAAAGATTTATACATGTTCCTGGCTACAAACCTGAGAGAAAATGAAAGAAGTGCGACTCCGATAATCAAGGTTACAGACTTGTCGAATTCCTTTGAAAAATACGGTAGATTTTACGGTTGAGTTCAGCAAAAATACGGTCGATTTTACTGCCAATTTCAAAGGAAAAACTTATTAAAAATTATGGTAAATTTTAGCAGAAATACGGTACGTCAGTTTTTAAAGAATACGGTACGGTAGTTTGCTATTCACACATTTTCGTAAAAACTGGAGGTTGGCAGGTCTCGAATTTAGGACACCTACTTAGAGCACTAGATTTAAGTCGCTAAACGTCCCCCTTGACTCAATTTAGGCCTAGTTAGTGACCCTATTCATTTATGTATCTGCCACACATCTGCAAATAGCTATCGTCTCATATACAATTATTAATTCGGAATAATAGATATGATCTGAGTTTTGCAGTAATCGATATGTTAAATTAGTTACTTAGACTCATAAATTGCTCACATTATAAGTGAAATGGAGAAAGAATGCCATTTTGTGAGCATTACAAAAACTAATAAACGCCTGCAACCGAACACCTCGTACCTGATCTGTGTAATCAACAATAATTTACATTTCTATAGTGGAGGCCATAGGCCTAGGAACATGTTAAATACATGCACAATCAAAGTCTGTCCAATCTAAGATTATCATTTTGCATTAATTATACATGTTCCTGTATCTATGTGCGAGGCAGTGGCAATGTAAGTATACCAGATCTAAAAACAAGCAACCAAAGAACCATTCATGTAGCGCAATATTGTATGGAAAAGAAATACATCAGTGCCAATTTCTGAAGTAATGCCCACATCCTTCAGCATTTCAAGTGGTAAAATTTGAAACTTCGAAATTAATGACTTGTATTTTTTCAGCAAACCCAAGAAACACACTGGAACACCCTGACAACGATAAAGTCAGGTACCATTGTAACAAATGACGGCCGGAAGTTCGTAATCAATTCGATTTTCAATAACTGCATTTTTAGTAGGGCACCAAGATTAAATTCCTAATTGGTAGAACAAGCAAAGTGTCTTTCTACTCATCGTATAGTCAAATACGTTCTAGCTAAGAAATAAAGCCTTTAATTTTATCGATGAACATATCACATGGGACAACGGATACTGTATAAATGGTAAATCTGGGTCAACTGTGCTGTAAAATCGGGATGACAACGGTAACATTTGGAAAGACAACTGTAACGCGTCCTGTCTTTCTGCTATGTTCCAATGCAATATATCCACCATAGTCCATTGTCACATCTGACCACGTATCGTTGTCTCTGTTCATTATTTTAAATTTAGATCCCGCTGTCATTGACGATATGGAAGACGGTATATTGTGGCAATTTACGACCACATTTGATTTAAATTGGGATGTCATATAATACAGACCATCACAAGAGCTTAATACATGGGAACAATTAGCAATGATAAATTATAAAGTCCCCGATGATTAGTACTAAAGAGTTGAAGCGACGATTACGTCCGCCATTTGTGACAAAGGTAACTGGCTTTACCGTTGTCAGGGTGTTCCAGTGTGAGAAATTTCTTCAGCTTTTTACAAGTATAACATTGACAGATGCTGTTGTTTTGTTCAATGGTAATGGCAAGGTCAAGATGAGACTTATTCGTGTTCGATTCATGGTCTTTTTCAACTCTAATTCGAAAGGATATATAGCATTAAGAAAATCTTTAATTGAGGGTTGTCTAAACTTAACAGGTCATCTATACAGATCTGTTTTTACAAACTTAGGTATATGAAATTTTATCTTATCTTTCGTCATCTTTTGCAAAATACTTTTTATAGA